GAGAGAGAGAGAGAGAGAGAGAGAGAGAGAGAGAGAGAGAGAGAGAGGACCTACATTAGGAGTTTGGAAGGCCATCAGTAAATGGATGTCTTGTCTTATTTGGTAGTATGTTGACTCTATTGGCTACCACCAAAGGCTGAAAGCCTTTATCTTCTGTAGGTTGTATTTTTAAGTTTCTATTTTAATTCATTTAAAATCTGTTCCATTGATGATTATCTTATATTCATTGAAGACATGACTCTGTGCTAGAGGCTTCTAAAACTTTAGATTGATTGGCTATTTTATGGAAGACTCATGCACAATTAACTGAGATACAAATAAAAATACCTGTATTGACTGGAGTTATATTAAGTTTGGTGACCTTTGGTAATTGTCAAGGGATTCATCACTGGCAAATAAGACAAGTCACCCATTTATGGGTGGTCTTCCAAGCTCATGATGTAGGTCATCAAAATCTTACATTAACTTTGATCTGTATGGAATTAAAATAAGATCAGCAGCAAGACAAATTCAGGCCTGGAGATTCAGGGCTGGTTTTCTACAGAAATCCTTGGAGTGAAGTCTTAAAGGATGGAAATAATTTGACCTGGCAGAAATGAAGGAGGAAGATGTCTCAGCATCAGTGCCTGCCCTTCTTTGCCACTCCTGTGCTGCCAAGCATTCAGTCAGAAACGAGAAAAGAAGACTTTGGCTGGAAGCCAAGGCAGAGTACTAGATAGAGGTCAAGAGAGGGGGTCAAGACAAGGGTACTTGAGCAGAATAAGGACAGATGAGAATGTGTCTCCATGTAGCCAGTCCAGGAATCGAAATGTCACACACCAAGAAGCAGCCAAGAGAACTGTACCTGAGAACAAAAGAAGCGAGCCAGGGCAACCTGCTAAAGATAACCAGTGTCTACCAGACAGCCATACCTTAACACAAAACATCTTGCATTCTGATGATAAAATTCAAACAGATTGAAAACATATAAAATATTTTTCTTTCTTACTTCCTGCCTCAATTTCACTGCCTAAAATTAACCTCAGCAATATTTTTTTAAAGTTCAATCTCAAAATTAAAAAAAAAAAAAGCCTCCTCAACCTTGAGCTAACCTAATTGTACATTCTTGTAATTTCCATAAGCATCATCACTTGGGTACATCGTTCTACTTCCCAGCTTAATAATTTCTCTCGAGACTGTTCTATGTCAACCAACAAGGTTCTACCTTATTGGAAAATAGTTGCTTAGAATTCTCTTATGTGCTTGCGTCTACAATTACTTAATACATTTTTATTGATGGGATTTTATACGGTCTTCTGGTTTCTGCTTTTATAAAAGATGCTATAATTAGAATTCAAGTCATTTAAACATTCTATGTCAGCTCTAGCCTTGCACTTTGAAAACATGCAAATTTTAAAGTTCAACAAGCAATGAAAGCATTCGTCATTATTTATTTATGTATTCTGTTTATTACTATGCATTGATTATTTCTTTTTTCTTTAAGATATCTTTATCAAAATACATTACTAATTTAAGGGTCATGTGTAAAGTGTAACTACATGAATTTTCTACATACATTAATAACTTGAGAGGTTACTTTAGAAAATTTGATTTAAATATTCAAACCAAACAGTATCCTAAGTTTGAGACTTCATGTTGCCTCGATTTCCTGAGTTTAGCTGAAATAAATTTCTGGAGTTCTTTGGAGTTTTGTAGCTTTTTCGAACCTTTTTTTGAGAACAGTCAAGGTAAAAATAAAGTGATTGTTAACTTTACTGAGCGCTTTGTGCTTGTTGATATGCTTTCAGATAATTTTTGTGACATCATTCCCACCACATTATAGGATTAGTCAAGGGATATGACAGTGATTTAACTAGTCATCTACAACATCCCTATGAGTCAGTTCTCCGTCTGACTTAGCATAGCTAGGACCATGTCAGAGCAGCGGTGAGGTTGAGACAGAAAGTTGACCTGTTGAGTCAGAGCATCTTTAAGAGAGCAGGTTTGGTTATAAGCGATGATGCTGGTTGTGTTCTGTCTGTACGTTTTTGTGAACGAATCCTATCAGACCCCCAAAGTTGAAGAGATACCTTGAGCTTCACCATTCTAACTTTTGTGAGTCTTGCTTACAAAAATGCATGATTTATAGATGAAGAAATTGAAACTCAGAGATCAAGACGCTTCCTCAGTAACTGTTTCCACGTGCGTGAATCTGGAATAAGAGCTTGCTTTCATGACTCTTTTATTGCAAGCATCCAGATCCATGTGTTACATGATCCATCCTATTACAATTCAATTTATTTCAGATATTCATGGAGTTTAAATCTTACAACACAAACCTTCGTCATCTGGAAAGCTCTATGGTCATTTCTCCCCTTTTCTAAAGAGGTGAAATATGACCATATTATTTCTTTCAATGTATTATTTTTCATTTGTTACTTGATCCTTTTCCCATTGAGTAACATAATCATCCTTCTGAACTTCCTGACTGCTGAAATGCTCAGAAAGGTGGGTGGAGGAGGTGGTCATTGAACTTTTGACCTCTGGCTAAGGGTCTCACCTTTCTAGACACGGAGCTCACATCTTTGATTTTTCAGACCCATTGCTGATATGACTAGTTAACTCAGTTCAGATACAATCAACTAACCTGTGGCCACAGGGGCTCACAGAGACTGAATTGCCAACCAGAGAGCATGCACGGGACTGACCTAGGATCTCTGCACATATGTAATGGTTCTGCAGCTGAGTCTTCATGTGGGACTCCTACAGTGGGAGCAGGGG